CCCCCCCCCCCCCCCCCCTATACGATGTGGTATATTCAAATAATTTCGTGATACGTTCATTTTATTAGTGCTTACACGTTTGAGAATTAAACTCTGCAAAACTAAAGCTTTTTTGTCTTTTTGAAACGGATTTTTGGAGTATTGGCAAGTTTTACCATTCAACGATTTGTAAACTAATATTGAAATAATGCAAGTAAAAAATAGTTTCATATATACGCGCTTTCACTGTAATGAGTTATGACATCTTCATACATTCTCTTCGCATAATTTTCATTCTATTTTTGCGTGTCATATTTTTTTGTCATATGACACAGGAATAGCATTCTAGTTATAAAACAAGAAACCAATTTACTTTTTATTGCTTTATAATTATAGCGTGAAATTTTTCTTTTCCTGACGAGTGACGTTTGTCGTTTGTCGTTGAACGCGAAGCTTAAGCTCTCAATTTTACGATAACGACACTGACGTTGATGCTAAGTAATCTTAACAATTCTTTGATAACCTTTTATATTCTATAAATCCATTTTTGAAAATATTTAACTTATTAAAAAATGCTCATTACATTTATACGACGAAATGTTTCTTGGCCTTCAATGGTATGATACATTGCAAGCATGCATGATGCGCGCTCTTTAAGTTTGTCATAACAGGCTGATCAAAGTAACTAGTCAAAGAAAGCTATATACTAAATGATTGTACATGAAAATTTTGAGCGAAAACTACCTATGAAAAGAGCGGTCAAACACCCGAGCTTTTCTGCGATATGGTAGTATAATAATATTTCCCTGACACGTTGTCTTGTTCAAGATCTGGTCATGCTAACTTTTCAAGGAAAGCTCAGTTAAAATTGTCCGAAGGCGCGACTGAATTGGTAGCTAAATTGATAATAAATTTGGTACACAAATATCTAATACATGCATTTAATTTGATTTTGTTTTGAAAAAATGACCTCACCATTTCCCTGTTCCTTGAAAATAGTGGAGCATACATATTAGCTAATCAAAACCATTTTGATATCAAATCTATCTTGGATAATTCCTTTGACGACATGCATCAGCCACTGGCCCGCACATGCATGGACAAGGATTTCGGATCTATTCTATAACGGGCCACATGCACAACTAGCTGTTCTGTATTTTTTGTCCTTTTTATTAAAATAAGTTTCCATTTTACATGACACTGACAAATATGTAATACTAGCTGATATAATGTAAACTTAGAAAACGTTCATCTAACTGGGTAATGTAGTATATTGGTCAGTTGCATTTTTTCTCAGCAACATATGTATCTCCAGGAAAATCATTATATATTTTACAAACAAAATTGCCTTTCAGGACTCTTTATAAACTAATTATTTGAGCTTTCTAATCCTTTGGATTAAACCTTTGGATCAGTTTTAGTTCCGTAAAATAATTACTTTAGCGTTCAATATAGATGAGCTAGGCTATATGATGTACGCTGGAGTGTGTGACGACATTTTGGGGGAGGACGTGATAATTAGACGTGACAATTGGGGGAGGGGGTGTATATTCATATATCCATGTTCACTAGCCTGAGTGTCAGACGAATAACGAATTATATTCGTCTGAGAACATTCGTCACTAATCTTGCCTCGTGACGTCAGATCGTTAGTCGAGATTTAGATAACAGAATGTCATTGGTCACTCTAAAATTGCATGTATTGTGCGTTTTTATTGGCTCATTGCTCTATAATGAAACATGTTGAATAAATTATCAAGATGGCGGAAATTCAATACGGCTACAATTGATGGAAATGTGCAATTAATAAGGTATTAAATGTATTTCTAGTACCTTCTTTGTATAAAGAACAGGAAGAGGCCCTTGCTCAATTATTTTCGAAGCGAGATGTTTTTATTAATCTCCCTACATCGTATGGAAAATCGCTTATATTCCAAGCTGCACCAATAATGCCTGATATTATCTTTCGAAGAAGCACGGGAACCACTATAGTAGTGGTTATTTCTCCACTGAAAGCCCTCATGGAAGATCAAGTTAGACATTTAAACAAACTAGGTTTATCGGCCGTCTGTGTATCAGACCAACACGACGATCGACTTGTTCAAGGTATCATCAATGGTCAGTACACACACGTATATGGATCACCTGAATGCTTTCTCAAATCAACTTGGAGAGGAATATTTGGGAGCAAGAAATTTCGAGAATCGTTGGTGTGTATTGCCGTGGATGAAGCTCATTGTATTAGTCAATGGTAAGATAACTGATGTTAATTTATTACCTACCTACATACATATTTTCAAGTAATCCAAAGTATCATTGTTCTGGCCACTATGGCCCCTAGATACTTTCTAGATAGACTTTAATATTATTCACTCGTTTTCGCGGTATTTTTCCGTAATCGCATCTCATTATTAGCGAGCCAGGGCACAGAATAGGAAGTTACACCAGAAGCGTAACTCTAGCCGTTTCCCTTATTGTTTGACGTCCACGAAAATTTTTAACTCGCTCACGTCAGGCCACGCCATCCTGGCTAGTACAGCCGGAAGTTTTTATCAGGTTTTGGTAGGTACAAAGTGCCGGTTGTACT